GGAGTCTGCTCGGCCGGAAGTAGATCCGAAAAGGCGCCCTGACCCATTCTCCTGGCCTTGGAGAGGGAACAAATAAGCTACTGACTCCCCTAAGCCAGGAACACAGGGTCGGCACAGCTCCTTTGCTAGGCACAGGTATCAGGGGTCCGCAGGCTCTGAGTGCCTTACACCCCTGTATAGACTTGTGGGGACCCATCTCAACAGCGATACTCCTCACTACCACAGTATAACCAGGCAAACATCTTAAGTTTAACTTCAACTGCTTCAGCTGTGAACTGGCAGATTTGTGACCCTTGAAACAGCCCTGCCCCTTAAGTAGGCACTTTTATCAATCTGCAGCAGGGGCTTGAGGACTGGTGGTAGCACCTAAAGTGCCTAGTCACCTGCTACAAGAGTCCAGAAAAAAGTGGTGCCCTTGAGTCTTTACAGCCAACAGAGTGGGGTGCTCATAGTCTGGCTGCAAAACTGACCTACCTACTCACCCTAGAGAATAGGGACATGCTTTCCTTTCAGACTCTCAGGGGCAGCCTTCAGCCCCCTGCCTGGCTCAGCGCATGATCCCCTACCACAGCCAGAGTCCAGTGCCTGAACCAATCACCCATGCCTCTCTAGGACTGGGGGTGAGAGCCTGCATCACACACTTGATGACCAACTGCCTGAACACCCGAGCTGAACCCATATAGGAAAATTTAACGGACTCCTGTGTGCACGTACTTAGTTACAGAGCTAACTACCTAGTGTCAGAATGTTAGAGATCCAAAGGTGTCAAAAATCAAATAGGTGCATGTGAGCAGCCTATTTGGGCATATCAAAACGAAACAAAATAAGAAGCTAGGTCTCACTAAACAAATACAAAATAAAATTATAATAAATTATTGATGGCTCAGAGACAACAGTCAATATCAACTCACATAAAGAGGCAGTCCATGATGGCTTCAGCAAGCTCCCAAAATAAAGAATCCATAAATTCTCTGGAGGAAGAGAACTTCTTGGAATTACCAGAGTCAGAATACAGAAGATTTATATACAGAACTCTTCTAGAAATTAGAAAGGAAATTCAACAGAATGCAGAAACATCCAGGGAACACACAGACAAAGTAGTAGCGGAACTTAAAAAAGTTATTCAAGAACATAATGCCAAATTTAATAGGCTGCAAGAATCCACAGAGAGACAGCAGAAATCCAGAAGATTAACAATAAAATTTCAGAATTAGACAACTCAATAGAAAGTCATAGGAGCAGAATTGAGGCAGTAGAAGTTAGAATTAGTGACACTGAAGATAAAGCTTTTGACGCCAACTTATTTGAGGAAAACGTCAGATAAAAGAATTACAAAGAATGAAGAAACTCTAAGAGTCATGTGGGACTCTATCAAGAGAAATAACCTACGAGTGATTGGAGTACCAGAACACGGGGGGATAAGAAAATACAGAGAAAATTGTTGAAGATTTGTTGACAGAAAACTTCCCTGATATCATGAAAGATGAGAAGATAGCTATCCAAGATGCTCATCGAACCCCACATAAGGTCGATCCCAAAAGAAAGTCACCAAGACATATTATAATCAAACTTACCAAAACCAAACATAAAGAGAGAATTTTAAGAGCAGCTAGGGATAAAAGAAA